ATCACTATACTAGCATGGAAATTTTGGACAAACCCTAATGCCCTCTATGCTAAATCCTTTTTACAGAAAGAAGTTAAAGAATATTGATTCTTAGGGGGCATTTATTTTCCTAGGTATCCCATTTCCTAGGTGGGTAAATTACTAGGAGAAAGTTGCCAACACTTCGATGAGACAAAAATGCCCCTCTTGATAATGAAATTTTTATGGCTAAAATGGTCATTCTTTTATTTAATTGAGAAATAAAAGAACATGGGTAAATGCACTTAACAGGATAAATGTTTCTCATGAAACACTAACCTGGGTAAGTGCATTTACTCGGGTAAGTAACTTATTGCAAAGTAAACAGGGCCTTAGGGGTAGAAAGGGATTGGGTATTATCTTGTACCAAGGCTGTGCTTGTTTGCAATGCAAATCTTGACCAAGTTTCATGCACCCAATAGGCTCATCATTTTTTTAGTTTTTTTTTGCCAAAATTTGGGAAAAGGGTGGGAATAACATTGTTTAACATGTAAAATATGAATTTCTTAAAAAAAAAAACTTAGAAGCAACATGTATCAACTATGATACATATTGGACAATACAGTCTGGTATGTTGCAAAATTTTGATCATTGATATTGACCAGGTGCAAGATTTGCATCGAATTCAAATTTGCTTTCATTTGTACCCAAGGAAATTTTGACCCCAATTAGGTATAAAGTTTGTAACGAAGGCTCAGTTTGAAAAGAATACAAATACAAATATGTATAATACAAATACATACAAAATATAAGGTTTTGCACTCTACACCTTTATATTTGTACTCCTCCCAAATTGAAATGAAGGAAAATGTGCAACATATTTTGTTAGTTGTCTTAGCCGGCCCTCTAGTGGGTGGAGTAATTTTGGGGTATTTAAAAAAAAGTTTCATGTAGCCGACCCCACATTAGGCTTGAATGGTGGTGATGATGAAGATGAAATGAATCTAGAAAAATAAGAAATGGCATTGCGATAAAAGAAAATCAATGTGAAATTGGATTTATTATCTTCAATCAAAATAACTTAAGAAAAAGTCTCTAAATGTTCATAAGATATTTATAAGATTAAGCTTTGACATATGGAATAAAGCACTAAGCAATATTCATATTCAAAAAATGAGTGGAGTCAAAAAAAAGGGGGGATGTTGAGAAGAATGGGTTTTTATATAGTGACAAGACGAAAGAATGTCAACTAAGATGGTTCACGACCAATAACTGCACTACTAGTAGGAGTGAATCGGTGCAACTAAAAGACTCTAAGCCTGTGTTTGGTTTGAAGGAAAAGGTAGAGAAAGGATGGAAAAGACGGGGAAACTAATATAAGGTTTGTACTATTTCCCTTCTTTTTCTTTATTTTCTTACCTTTTCCTTCAAACCAAACATAACCTAAAAATGCACGGAAGACCAAAGAAAATATGGTCTCACGTGGTACAAAGTAATTCAAGTATTTATAATTTAACAAAACATATGGATCTTTATAGAGCACAATGGTAAGATAGGATTGGTCCAAAATAATCATGATGAAGGTCAAAGTTGAATGGATACGTCCCAAGTTGATGTTTCTTATTTCCCTTCTCAAAGTTCAACAAATTTAGGTAATAGCATTATATTATGAATTTAAGTATGTTGTGGTTTTGATTGGAAGGAATTTTCTATTTGACACGTTGGGTTCAGCCAACAATCCGAATCGGCCAAAGAATCTTCCATGTGGTTAAATTAATTAGAAAAGATTCGTTGTTAGAGTTTTCTCATCGTCGCGCTCGTGATAGAGATGAGTTTAAAAGTTGACATGCAAGCTTCATTCATAGCACGAAGTAGGGATGCAAGTGGATTAGATAGGATTTGAATCAAGGTATATTTGAATTCGATTTGATATTGTTTATATCAGATGTGTTCGGATTTGATAGGATTCGACTTGAATTCAAATCTTATCAATAAGTTGGATATTTGGATCTGATTCGATTTAACTTATTTTCTTTAAAATTAATAAATTATTAAAAGAAAAATAAAATATACTAATTTAAATAAAATACAAAAAATATAAGTATTTATTAATTATTTTTCATCATATATATACATGTTTTTTATAAAAAATAAATAATATATTAAATTTATAAAAATATAAATAAATAAATAACATATATATTATTATATATTTATATTTATAAATATATAATATATATCACATCAGATAGGGGGCGACTTCAATCCAATCCGATTTCTAATCGGATCCTATTATCTGATATAAAGATCCGAGCAAGGGTGGTCCAAATTTGACCAAATAGGATCGGATCGGATCATGATCCAATCCATTTGCACCCCTACTGTGCACCCTTAAATGAGCCCATATCTCCTACAAGCAAAAGCTCTATGCATTCAGAATTCAGTTGTACATTAAGAATATCTCTTATGTACGTATGTTAAATTTAGGCCCCATTCACTTTAGGAAGTTAGTTATCCATATAAATGCATTTACCTAATCCGAGTAAGTGCATTATCCATGTTCTTTTATTTCTTAAGTAAATAGAATAATGACAATTTTAGTCATAAAAAGCCATTATTAAAAGGGGTAATTTGTCCCATCAAAGTATTGGCAACTTACACCCTAAGTGGGAAAGTTAGTTATTCACATGCTTAGAGACGGGTAAGTGATACCCTAGAAAAATAAATTTTCTGTGAATCCCACATAAATCTTACAAAAAAAGAACATAGTTATTTTGGTCAGTAGGAACTTCCCCCCTCTCAAAATCCAAAAAATGAAGAGGCCTTGATAGAAAAATGTTTCCAATGTATGGTTGAATGCCCATACTTGCAGAATGAGTGTTCGCAGGTGCCTTAAATACCTTATTTTTTAAGAACTCATTAGTAACATCTTCTCATGAGTAACGAGTTCTAACACAAGTATGGGGGATATTCTTGATGTGCAACAACAATGGTGGAGTCAGAAATTTTCCTTTTTTTTTGGGGGGGGGGAACAAGAAAATGATCCTTTGAAGGAAAAAGTAGGGAAAGGAAAGGAAAGGAAGGGAAACATTTACAAATCTTGTATAAATTTCCCTGCATTTCCCTTCCTTTCCCTACTCTAACCTTCAAATCAAACATAGCGTAAATGTATAGACCCTGTATGGATTTCCTTGACTTTCCCTATTTTTTCCTTCAAACAACCTAAATGTACCTTGAAAGCATGGGCATTCACTCACACATTGGGAATGAACTTAACAAACATGTATAAGAGATATTCCCAATATGTGGGTGGATGCAAGCGTTTAAGGATGCGTGCTGATGTAGATTTACATGGCCTTGCCCAATAGTGGGCCTACGCATGTTAGACGGCAGCGCTCAGGGCAGGCTCAATCAGGGCGTGTGCAGAACAAAGCTTGGCGTTCATTCTGGAATCAATGGCACGATCACACTTGGTAACCTCTAATAACTGTGCCTCCCGCGTACGAACTGTATTCGGACTTTCTGAGCTCACCTACCTCCAAGTGGCCTCAAGTATAAATAGGAGGCAACCCTCTCAAGGTAAAGGGACTGGAACTTAGTATCAAGAACAAGAACTTGAGAACTCTTAATCTCCTTTGTGGCCTTGTCTGAGTATTTACACCTTAGGTCTCGTCCACCTTGCACTGTACCTAAACTAATTTGACCGTTAGAGTCTCCGCCTCGGCTACCAATCCAAGGCCTCTAACGTCTCTCTTTGATCCTCGTAGGGCGAGCCTAGCAGCCCTCGTCCTCTAGAGGCCTTAGACTATTCAACCACACCTCGGCTTGGGAGCGAATTGACAAGTGTTGCCCTCAGTCGATTTTGACCGACAACGCATGAAGAGTTTTATAGGGAGGGAATCCAGTTGGCATAACATGTGATGTTATAAATAAAATAATAAAAAAACAAAAAGATAAATCTACATAAAAATGATAAAACAAGTAGAAAAAACCGAATATATTTTTTATATTAAATATAGGAAAGGTAATAGAGCATGTTTGGGCCTTTGGATTAGGGCCGTACTCCACATCCCCGATCCCAACTTTGAAAGAAGTCTCCATCATTGACCCTGATCTTCTCCGATCCTCAAAAGTGATGAATTGTCCATCTTCTCCGATCCTCAGGTGATGGTTCAACCAGCCAGGTCACTGGGTCGACAACAACGGGTCTGGGCTTCTCTCATGCTCAAATTCTCCGGAACGGCCAAAAAGAGTAGTATTGGATGGCGGGTCCTGGTTTTCGTGGGTCGGTGGCCGAATAAATCCAAACAAGCCCTCAACAATGAACAAACCACCCACCTCTTTCCTGTCAACCAAACAAATTTGAGACCGGATCTGCTCCTTACACCTGGCGCCTCACAGGCGCCCAACACGCACATTCTACCATGCATTTAGAACATCTCCCGTATTTATCAATTATTATTCACGGGAGATGTTCTCAATGCTCGGTGGATGTGCATGTGAGGCGCCCATTTGTGAGGAGCAGATTTCGTCTAAAACAAATTTACGTTTTTCAACTTCAGTCATGGGATGGCTTGGGTCTGGGATACAGTACCGTCCGCATCTATCAGACACTCTCACAAATTGCCACGTGGAGAGTATAAAATGATCAGAACCCAATAAACAGTCCCCCTTCACTGTGGGCTCAACGGATGGTGGTTCCGCATCCTGATCCTCCTCAAGAGAGATGCTCAATCTAGACCGTCCAAACAATTGTAAATGTGCCTCAACTCAAATCCGTGCAGCATGGTGACCAAATGAAGATTCCAATTTAACGATATATTTTCGATGCTAGGGATTCGACTTTATATTTTTATTATATATCCTCTAACGTTATATCATAACTTCATCTGATTTCATCTCGTTGTCGAAAAGTACAGATACCAACAACGACACAATACTCGTGAGATAAAAGATTAAGTAAAGTCAAAGTTTTCTACGTAAGATTTGAAAGTCATCGAATCTGATGGTGGATATTTCTTGTCTAACTGACTTGGTAGGTTGGTTCAAGAGCTTCTTTATGCAATAAAATTGAACGTGGATGACTGACTGAAATTTCAGTTGAATCTCGTTCTCTCGCCGGAAAACATGGCGACAGTGGCCCAACTCCGATACTTTCCTCTACATAACCAATATGATCTCGCCGGAAGCCGACATCTTACCATCCAAAACACCCGTTCTTCGGCGCTCTCTCTCCCTGCACATTTCTCTGTCTCCTCTCCCTCCCCTTTGAATATCTCTCTCTCTCTTCTCCAAACCAGAGCTTCTAGCCCCAGCTCCGCCGGAAAATTCGAACTTTCCAATGATGGAGGCAATGGAGCCGGCGGAAAAGGCCGTGGAACCGGCGGTGGCGGCAATGACGGGTGGAGTTCCGGCCATAGTGGTGGTGGAGATTCCGAGGATCGATCTTCATCGTCATCGTCAGGTATAGGAATTCTAGGGTTGTTCTTGAACGGATGGAGATCACGGGTTGCGGCTGATCCACAGTTTCCGTTCAAGGTTCTGATGGAGGAATTGATCGGCGTTAGTGCAAACGTTCTTGGAGACATGGCGACTCGTCCTAACTTCGGACTCAACGAGCTCGACTTTGTCTTCTCGACTCTTGTCGTCGGATCGATAGTAAACTTCATTCTTATGTATCTTTTAGCCCCAACGGCGACTGCGTCATCGGTGAATCTCCCTGCGATCTTCGCGAGCTGTCCGAAGAGCCACATGTTTGAATCAGGAGCATTCAGTGTTCTCGATCGGTTTGGGACGTTTGTATATAAAGGAACTCTGTTTGCTGCAGTTGGGTTTGCTGCGGGGCTCGTGGGCACTGCGATTTCAACTGGGCTGATTAAGATGAGGAAGAAGATGGATCCCAATTTCGAGACGCCGAATAAGCCTCCGCCCACGGTGTTGAATGCTATTACTTGGGCAATTCATATGGGTCTGAGCAGTAACCTCAGGTATCAAACTTTGAACGGGGTTGAGTTTCTGCTGGAGAAGGGGCTGCCGTCTTTGGGATTTAAGGCTTCGGTGGTGGTTTTGAGGTGTTTAAATAATCTTCTCGGAGGTGCTTCATTTGTGATCTTGGCGAGGTTGACGGGATCACAGAAAGTTCAGGAGGGGAAGGCTGTGGTTTCAACGCAGGAGGGGGAGTTGGCGGAAGAGAAGGTGAAGTTGATACAGGGGAGTGAGGATTTACAGAGCAGTCAGTCTGCGTCTAAGTAATTTGGTTTGTCTTCTCTTTCTTTTGTTTACTTTCAGGGCAAGGAGAGCTAAATGTAGAGTTGGTTTTCATTGAAGTATGCGTAATAAGTTTGCCTGATTTCCTTTAAGTTTATGAAAAGTGATGCTTTTTTGTGCAAAACTATCTGTGGATCTTTTCTGGTTCGCTTTTTCTTTCCCCTTCTTAATTTTCCTTCTCTCCTTTTCTCTTCTGTTCTTTATGTTGGGATATGTTTGGCATATTCCTTTACAGATGATACTCCTTTTAGGAAAGAATGAGTCATTTGTGTGGGTTTTGTTCAGAAAGGTATTTTAGAGGCGTTATTGCGTATTTGTAGGAGTTAAAATAATCTATACTTAAAGAACGTGATGAAAGAAAGCAGGGTTTTTCCATCTATTTTCTTCCCCTGCTATTGCTTATGCTGGATAGGAAAGTAGAAGCAATATATTTATGAGCTGCTTGATGTTAGTGTTGAGTTAAACACAAAAATTGACATCAGTTCTTGTTGTGGTTCTTCATTGTGGATAACCTTTGTGTTTTGGCCTTTGAACTGTTTCATTAGACTTATGAGGAGTTAAATTTTGTGGATAACCCTTGTGTTTTTGGTTAGGTATATTCAGCTCATGAAACCTGATTTTATTTTAGCTACAAAGTTGATATCCTCAACTACGTAGTCTGTCAACTTGATTTGTCAGATAAATTTCTAGGTATTATTGGAATGGAGCAAGTCAAGTTTCAATCAGGGTATGCTGCATACTTGGAATTTTGAAAGTCAGGGTCAAGGTAAAGCAATTCTTGCCAGTTTTCTGCAGTAAGAAAGGTCTGGAAATGTAGATATAGAACACTATGACTGAAATTATGGCGGGGGTGGTTGTTTTATGTGCCGTGATCCTAATAGCATTGAAGATTCTTAAGTATGAATTTCTATGTTCTAGAAAGACTGGGCTTATGGATCTAGGGAGATTTCTGGTTTATGCTTTTTTCTCTCAATATCTCAATCATTTATGTTCTTAAATTTTTTTTAGCTTTGTTGGACTGGTGGCAGCAGGAATTGATCCCTAGTATCTGCTACAGCCAGCCAAAGACCTCACCAACTGGGCCACCATCAGTTGATATTGATGTTCTTAAATTTATTCTCCACTCTTCATTTTAGTGGGTATTAATTGGTTAAACGCAATATTAGGTATGGTTGTCAAAAGAGTCATTACCCCGTGATCTAGGGCCTTGGGATGTTGGATGGACTGGATGTGAACCTAAACTATGGCTCTCTCTCTCTCTCTCTCTCTCACACACACACACACACAAAGTGACCGCTCTCAGACTTGAACCTCTGTTCTCATGTTTGTAATCCTGATATTCAACAATTTTTATGTGTGATTGCCTTTTTAATTGGTGTTATGTATGATTGTTCTAGGTGCAATTCTCTTTGCATTTTAGTTTATAGTTGGAAAGTCTATTCTCTCATTCTCTCCTTGCCCTAAAATGAAAATGCAGCATAGGTACTTTAGATGATTTGCTCTTAAACAAGAGAAGTTCTAATTAAGTCTTTCCTTTTCTTAAAATTGAAATATGGGATCTTCCTTTTTGGCGACCTGTAGTTTGGAAGCTCTTAGTTCAACTTTAATATGATGAACATCAATCCTGTTAATATATTCAGACTAATCAATTTTAGTTATTCTGTTACATCTTTCAATTAAATCGCTGTTAATATATTCAGACTAATCAACAAAGGTAGATGGTTCTGATGGGTGTTCATCTCCAGACATGTTTAATGTTTTCCCTTATCTCAATTTAGTGATTCGTATTTTCTCTAGTTTCTACCATTTCTTATTGCACTTTGTTGGCTTGAAATTATTTTGTTCATATATGTTTAATCATCAGAACATGGAGGAACCTGTTTGGTTTGTAATGGATTTAAGACTTATATATTACTGGTCTAGATAAGTAGGTATGATATTCATAGCTTATTGAGTTCAAAGGCACTTCTCGATCTAAAAAGTTGATTAAGATGGAGTATTGTTTTCTCATAGTATTTCACCTTTTTTTTTTTATTGAAAACATATCTTGATATCTTGATCCAGTCAAGTCAAAAGAAATCGGATTAAAGATGATATCTGAAAACCTCCTGTAGATTTAACTAAAAGGAGGAAGAATACAAAAATGTAGGGGAGTTCTCATTATCTTTGTTCTGCTTTTGCTTTTATCATTATTATGTTTAGCATTCTGCTTTAGAGTTTCTATTGGGTTTAAACGATCAGAATTTTTCTATATTGTTCTCTTTAATCCACTTGTTAGAGAATTTGTTTGTATTATCCAAGAAAGTTTATATCTCTTGATGCAAATGCCTCTAATTGTTGATAAAGAGACTATTGTACCCCAGTATTCTCATTGATAGTGGAAGACATTTAGACTTTGGTCTTGTGATTTTTACTCCCATATTGAAGTTTTTTTTTTTTTTTACATAAATCTTGACTCTATTATTGCTCTCTTTGTGATTGATTATTTGTCTTGTTGAACATACTCTATTATCTTTACTTGTATTTTTTTTAACTTATTTGCATGCCATTCATAGTGGTACCAACCCTAATGATTATGTTTGTTCAAGTAGTCAATGCAATATTAAACATTTTACATTTTTAATCTTAGGAATAGTGCAAGTTAGAATAGTTAATACCAAGGATTCCCATCCTATTAATTTAATTGGAAGTGTGTAAAATCACCTCCAAAGGTTCTAACTAGAAGAATGAAATAGATTGAGGTTGGTGATTTCTAAGTCTCAACTCTCAAGGGGTGTTTGTGAAATGATTCTTGATGGTATTTTAATTGCTAAACATGAGATTTAGAAGCAGGAGAATAGGGATGTTATGTAAAGTTGATATAGAGAAGGCCTATGACCATATCAATTTGGAAATTTTTGGTTTATATATTAACAAGATTGAATTTTGGTGCAAAGTGGAGCTAGATAAAGGTACCTTTTACCTCTCCATCTTTCTTCATCTCTTTTAATGGCTCTCTTCACGGAATTTAAGAGTTTGAAAGGAATTAAGCAAGGTGACTCTTTATCACCATTTCATCTTATATTCATTACTAAGGTAACATTTGACTAAGCTTACATAGATCAACCCAAAATTGGTGTTTCTACCTGAAACATCAATATAACATTTCAACTATAAACGCCAATAATCAGTCCTATGCATGCATTTTTCTAGCTTAAGTGACTCATATATGATGTGACAATACTTATTTTTCACCAGTTTGTATTGATCAACCTAAAACGTTTAATGTAAAAACAGCAATGGTATCACACAACCTTAGAGACCATTTGGGAGGGCTTAAGCTTTGATTGAGCTACATTGATTAAACCTTATTGAAGAAGCTATAACTAGCTTCACCTAAACCTCAATTTATTACTCAAATGAAAGTGTATTCCAGCTTTCTGGTTTTTTGTCCAAACATAGATTTTAGGCTTTCCATGTGGGCCCACCTTGCAAAGCCAGAAGCCACTGCGTGAAAACCCTCTCAGACAGGCACCTAATAGACACTCTTGAGTGTAGTGTGAGAAATCTTCCATCCAAGTATTGGGGCGCAGATGTGAATTCTGATTTTATCTCCAGCCACTCCGGACTCTATAGAAGCGCCTAACTATTGACAAGCCGTTGAAAAGGGGAATATAGCCTTAGAGAATGTTAGTTGTAACCTACACTCAACTATGGTGGAAATGGCAAATCATCTAGATCGATCACATTGTTATTGGAGAGAGAGAGAAGTTTGTTGCAACTCAAAACACATCTAACCACTAGTTTATACTCTTATTATACAATTTAAAATACAACAAACTTCAAATACAATACACTGAACTCATAAACTATTCAAGTGAGCAGATTCCCTCAAACTCCACTTACTTTCTATTATCTAATACCTTTGGCCATTTGTTGGTGTGTGTGATTTCAAAGAAATGCCTATATATTGAGGCTGTGTTTGGTTGTAATGTAAACGCAAATATGTACATTGCATATTTACCATTTTTTTGGTTCATGAATGCAAATATGGTTCACATTTTAAATCGTTTTTGCACTCATCTTGTTTGTTTGAAATCAGTGCAAAGTGTGGGCTCATCATTAAATGTTCAAACTATCTTATGCTCCAATGTCTTAACTTTGGTCAAAAAGTTAATTATCAAAATAACACAAATTTGTATCTAAAAAATAGGTATGCTCTCTTTTTACATATCAAACAAGCACTCACAAACACAAACCAGGGTATGTAAATACCCTGATTCAACGTTTGTATCCCAAACAAACGGACCCTTAAAAACACTTTTAACAAAGTTTATTGTGCTCTTGGCTCATTTCTCATAAAGACTTTACAGGACTATCGTTTAATAGAATTTTTGACAAGTATATTTTGTTGAAATGTTAATACATAGTTAAAAAAGTTAAATAGATCGTTTTCAGTGTACAAAAAGGTAGTCTACAAGTTGATGATAACTGTTTTTTTTTTTGATAATCTAGAAGTTGATAAACCGTTACAAATTTGTAAAACACATAGCAGACCGCAAAAAATAACAAAAGGATATATTTAAAAAAGTATGCACCTTTTAAAATATGCTACGGCTGAGTTTAGGTAGGGTACATACTTCAAAATATGCCTTTGCACTCTAAAATTTCTTTGGGTGGATACTATATCATCTAGATTCTACAAGGAGGCAGAAACAATCCAAGTATCATATATCATATATATGGTTAGTACTTATGTGGATATGTGCATATGTGTGTGCTTACAGTAATACCACTCATGTTAGAAGCATTGATTTGATTAACACCTCCTTACTTATAGGGTGGATACGAGCATAATATTAGATTATTGGAACTCAACTTGGTAAAAAAAAACATAAACCTTGAGTTTGTGCTCAAGCTCGATTTAAACAAGAAATATTACTTCGCATTTGGCTTGGCTCAAAAGTTCATATGTTTGAGTTAAGTTCAGCTCAAGCTTGATAGTGAGCCAAGCTTATTCAGTTCACGAGCTTTTTTATATATAAAAATTAAAAAAAATATAAAATATATATACATACATATATATATATATATACACTTTACATTTTGCCACGAATGTTCGAGTTGAAAGATAATTCTGGCTTTTAAAAGTTGATTTTACTTTTTTTTATTTGTTTTGAGGCT